AATCTCGACCAATCCAAAATCCCGAAAGTCATCCCACCACCTAAATTTGAACCCCACTAATTAGGAAAAACCGCTATATAAACCACGGTTCCGCGGTCTTGAGCGTCTCCTTTTTCTTAGTCTCTTCTTTAGTCTTGTCTTTTTGGCTCTCGGCTTTTTTGCCTTTGCTCGTCTTCTTGCTGAGAGCTTTACAGTCCAGTTCGCAGGGTTAGTCGAGAGAAGCTACCCAGCTCAAATAAAACGGATAGAGTCTCGGGTGACTCCATTATTAATTGAAATAAGTAATAGAGTCAGTGATCCAACGCCCCGAGGTCTCCAATACATACGCTGACTACCAGGCCCTGAAGGCTCTTCACCAAACCCAGCTCTGATCTCATCAAATAGTAAGTAAACGTCGCCCCCTTTTTTCCCTTTTATCTCTTTTCTTTTCACTCCACTCACTACTTTCAGGAACTCGCGTCCGGTTTTGTTCCTATAATTGTTCTATTGTCCTTAATTGTTTTCCCTTTAAATTTCGATATATGAATCTTGCAGTGCGTTCAGACGGAACCACCGGTCGTCCCCTTCGTCGTTCGGTCATAAAGTACGCCCGGACGACCCGCAGAACGGCACGTATTAGGGCCAATTTCCTGGAGGCTCGTCAGTCGCCGAATCATACCACCGTAGCTTCACCGGTCGAAAATGACACCGTGGTAGAATTATCACAACCAATTTTTTCTGTTCCTCCTTCCCCTCCAATAGCTATCTCATACTCGCCAGTATCGAACCTTCTCCCTCTTCCTGATGAACCTTCTGCAACACCCGATTTCCAGTCACTATACCCGAATCCTTCCCCCGTCTCCGACGTCTATCTTCCTCCTTTAGACGTTCCTGTCAATCAACTCTCCCTCCTTTCGTCTCTTCAACCATCATATTCCCACTTCATCACTTCCGTAGCTGATCTCCTGGCCTATTGGCTCCAACAACCTACAGATAACCCTCGAACCGCAGTAGTATACCTCAACGATACTTCTTTCCCGTTCACTGTCCCCGCTG